TGTAGTAACTCCTCTTTAGATCCTTTTGGGATGAGTAACTGGGATGCTGAAAAGCACCATGGGAATATTTGAACCATCTTTAAACAGACAGTGCTTTCAAGTGATAAGCATTGCTCAGATCTCTGGGCCAGTAGCATATCTAGCTGGGGTTGTTAGTTGGTATCTACTTGGTTGTTCTTCTCATGATATTTCTGATATAAGATAAACTTTTTAGGTTTCTATCATACTTATATGAGGACCCTGAAGGATTTTGTGATCACACTGCGAGTGCTTCAGAATTTCCTATTGAATAATGATAATGAAGTGAATAGTCTTTGAAGTTGAATGACAGATCCCTTGGAAGATTCCCAGGGTGGTGAGGCAAATGCTGAGTCCTGAAGTGAGATTAGGCATCTTTGCATAGTCCTTGAAAATAATTCTCCTTCATTCCCTAGATATTTCTTATGTTAGAAAAGCTTAAAACAGTGTTTTGGTTTATTTTTCCGCTAGGTTTTTGGTATCTTAGAAATTTATTAGCTTTTGGTGCCTAATGAATTCTGATCAATTGTTAGGTTGATTACTTTGGTAGGAATCCCAGTTCAAAATTTATCTCTCCCAGGAAGGCTTCCAAATAGCTTATAGAGCCTATTAGGTCTCAACTGGGTCCCATAGGTACTGTTTGCAGTTTGTAGTCCAGTATTGTTTTGTTTTCAGTATGGGTGGTGGTGTTTTTTTTTTTTTTTTTTTTTCATTCTCTTGGTTTTTGAAATAGAAATTAGATGTTCTTTTTTATAGTGTTTCCCTCCAGGCCTCCATGCCCAAGTTTTTTTTTTTTTTTTTTTTTTTTTTTACAATGATAGGTATTCTATATCTATAGATAAACTGATTAAAAGCTGTGTATTGAAGGCCTTCCATGATAGGTGCCCCCACATTTGCTTTTCTAACCTACCTATTTTTTCCCTAGAATAAATGTCCTGTCAGTCTGAAGATAGTCATGATCTCCTAAATACATACTAAATTTTCCCATCTATAAGTTTTTTAATTTTGCCATTCTCTCCTTACAGTTTTTTTTAATTAAAGATTTATTTTTATTTATTTATGCAACAAGAACTGGGGTGTAGGCCAGAGGTGCAGTGCGGGGGGTGAGAGGATTCACCAGAGACAGAGTGGGGAGCAGAATAGGCGGATCTATTGAAATACACTGCTAAAGGTAGCAGCAGGAGAGACAGGAGAGGTCTGCTGCACCATGTGGGTTAAGCTTCCTGGCTGGGAATGAACTCATGTCTGTAGTGGCTGGTGATAGCTTGATAGCACTGAAACTTTAACTCCTGCTCCACCAGGGAGGCCCTCTTTTAAATTCTTCCAGACATCTAGAGCACATATAGCTTGCCTAAATAATGTAATACTGTAGATTTTATATTATTTTCTTCTATTTCTTTAAGTTCTTCTTGTTTACCTTTTTTTAGGTCTTGGTTCTTCTCCTTTCTGGAAGAGCATCTTGAAATGCCTAGAGCATCTCGAAATCAGATACTTCTGAGACTAACTTCATTGTTTCTTTATATTGTCCTTAAAATAGGGGGACCTCCCTGGTGGTGCAAGGGGTTGTCTCAGCACTATGAAGCTATGTGCAGCCACTGCAACCGAGTTTGATCCCCGGCCAGGGTGGTCACCTACATGGCACAGCAGACCTCTCCTGTCTCGCCTGCTGCTCCCCTTAGCAGTGTATTTCAGTCAATCTGCCTGTTCTGCTCCCCACTCTGTCTCTGGTGAATCCTTCCCCCCTCCCCAAACCCACCCCATACCTCTGACCTACACCCCAGCTCTTGTATGCATAAATAAATATAAATAAATAAATCTTTTAGAAATAAATACATAGGGCCTCCCCGGTGGTGCAGCGGTTGAGCACTGGGCTGCGAAGCTACCCGCAGCCTTTGCAGTGCTGGTTGGATCCCCGGCCCCCGTCGAGGATCCCACATGGCACGCAGACCTCTCCTGCTGTTCCCGCTGCTCCCCTCAGCAGTGTACTTTGTCAGTCTGCCTGTTCTGTTCCCTGCTCTGGCTCTGGTGAATCCTCTCACCCTCCTGCACTTCTGACTGTACCCAGTGCTTGTATAAATAAATCTTTAAAAAAAATTTAAAAAATACATAAATTGTCCTCAAAATAAATGTTGCCTTATACTGGACCCCCTTGAGGATTGTAGAAAGTATTAGGGGTCTTGATAAAATTTTTGCCAGTTCTTTCTTCCTTTATCATATATAGTATTTTTCATACATCTTACTTTTTTGGAGTGTGTTATTATTTTTTTTTAAAGATTTATTTATTTATGCATACAATAGCTGGGGTACAGGCCAGAGATGTAGGGAGTGAGAGGATTCACCAGAGACAGTGGGGAGCAGAACAGGCAGACTGACTGAAACACACTGCTGAGGGGAGCAGCAGGCAAGTCAGGAGAGGTCTGCCACTCCATGTGGATTGCTCCCTGGCCAGCTGGGGATTGCTTCATAATGCAGTGCTTAACTCCTCGCGCCTCCAGGGAGGCCCTGGAGTGTATTATTTTCTCTACCTCTCTGGCTATATCTCAGATTTCTTTTAGATTCCACTAAACTATTTAATTGCCTCAAGGGCAGAAATTATATATCACCTCTTTCATCATTATTAATTTTTGATTGTTTTTGATAGTATAAAATATATTTTTCTTAGAAAAAAATTAAACATTATAGGTAATGTTAAAGTATCCTTTAATTGTACCCTGACTTCACAGTGCCTTGTTTATATATAACTAGTTATTGGATTGGGGTACATCTGCCTAGACTTGTTAGTCTATGTTTACATATATATATATATATATATATATATGCCTGTACAAAATATACTAAGTATACTTAACAACATGGATGACTTACAAACAGAAGAATATATACAATATGATATTAGTAATATAAAGTGTGAAAATATGGAGCATAATACTATATATTACTTAAACATACATATCAATGAAGCAAATGATAAAGCTATGTAAAAGCTTAATAAACATTAGATTTAGATTAGGATGGATGAAAAAGGAGGATATGTTAGGGAGGACACAGTCATCAGTTGTGCTATGAATCTGAATGCTTACTGTTATGTTACTTTTTATGCTATACTGTGTAATAAATATATATTAAAAAATTATTCTGCCTAGAGTGGGCTGGTTGGTTTTACATAAATATTATGTAATATTTTTATGTTTTAATTTTTTTAAAAGATTTTTTATTTATCTATACAAGAACTGGGGTACAGGTCAGAGGCGCGGGAGGGTGAGAGGATTCACCAGAGACAGAGCGGGGAGCAGAACAGACAGACAGACCGAAGACACTGCTGAGGGGAGCAGCAGGCGAGGCAGGAGAGGTCTGCCGTGCCATGTGGGGATCTCCCTGACTGGCCAGGAATCAAACCGGCGCTGCAAAGGCTGCGGACAGCTTCACAGCACGGCCCTCAACCTGCTGCGCCACCAGGGAGGCCCTATCATACATTTTTAAAAACAAAATTATTTTGTGTAGGGCAGGTTGGTTGGTTTTACATAAATGGTAACATACAGTTATATACTACATTTTTTTTCCTACATTCCACAGTATAAATGAGAACTCTTTCCCTTTCTTACTTGCTTTGTATCCTTAGTACTCTGAAAGATGCCTTATGCATAGAAATTGCTTAATTAGTAAATATTTCTGGAATTCCTTCTTCCCTTGTCCACATATCCTTACTGTTTTAACTTTTCTTAAGCCTAAGCCAAATATTTAACTACATATTCTGCCCCACTACTCTTTTTTTTTTTTTTTTTTTAAATAGAGTCATGTTTTATTTATTTATTTGTTTGTTTTGTTTATACATGCACTGGGTACAGTCAGAAGCGCGGGAGGGTGAGAGAATTCACCAGAGCCAGAGCAGGGAGCAGAGCAGGCAGAAGGACCGAAGTACACTGCTGAGGGGAGCAGCGGGCGGCAGGAGAGGTCTGCGCGCCATGTGGGACCCTCCTCTGGTGGCCGGGGAGCAGCCGGGGATCGAACTGGCGCCGCAGAGGCCGCGGGCAGCTTCGCAACCCAGCGCGCAACCGCTGCGCCACCGGGGAGGCCCATCTGCCCCACTACTCTTTCATTCTGCTTTTAAAATTTTGTCTTTCTGAAGAGTCATGGAAAGTGGTAACATTGTCTTCATGTGCTTCTAGGGTTTTCTCTGTGGCAAGAAGAAATTCTGTTTTTTTTATATTTTCACCTAGGAGGAGAAATATCTTTTCTAAGTGCTGTTCTAGGCAGCAAATAAAATTATGTGGTAGTAGAGTTGGTAGTACTTAAAATACCAAAGTAATATTTTAGCTTTATTTCAGTCTCATATAGAAACTAGTAGCTTTCCATCTACTTATTAGAGATTTTCTGCTATAAAGCAGAGAAACTTGAATTTTCAGAACTTTTCAAAGGTTGTATGTATCACTGCTACTCTCCAGTTTTCTGGAACTGACTTGGTAGAATGGATGCAGTCTACAAGTTGACATTGTAACTGTGGTTGAACAAGGCTATTTTTCTAACAACCGTTATTCTTTTCTTTTAATTTGAATCTTCTTTATTACTTTATTGAGTGGATAACAAAAAATGGGAAGACCTGAAATATATCTAAAACAATGAACTTGCAGCACAGATAGATGTTCATACCCGAACCCTCACAGGAGAGACTTTGGAGACAGTCTTTGTCCCCAGAATCATTGACTTTGAAGAATTTGCCTTTCTTGCTAGTGATTCTTGAGGTACCTTAAGAAATTTTCTGGATTGATGCTTTTTGAGTTGTATCTTGAACTTCTAGAGGCCTCTAGGAGAGCCAAGTGTTTGGATTCATATCATAAGGTGAATTTTATCCCATCTAAGTATTATAGGTGGGAAATCCTGGTACTGAATGGTTAAATATAATTCTAATCTTATCAGGTACTGATTTAAGCATGATTTTACTCTGGGTAACCAAATAGTGACAAAAGTTTGAACTGTTTTGTTAGGTTTTCCAGGATGGTGGATAAGAATATTTACATCATTCAAGGAGAGATTAATATCGTGGTTGGGGCCATCAAACGAAATGCCCGATGGAGCACCCATACTCCTCTGGTAAGTTGGGGATAGGTAGCTAGCTTGGTCATTGAGTTGTAGAGGATTTGCTACATGGTTAAACAGTAATCATTTTACCAGCAATAATGATAATAGTAGGAATTCAGAGTTATTCTTTTTTTTTTAAGATTTATTTATTTATTTGTTTGTTTGTTTGTTTTATTTATACAAGCACTGGGTACAGTCAGAAGCTCAGGAGGGTGAGAGAATTCACCAGAGCCAGAGCAGGGAGCAGAACAGGCAGAAGGACCGAGCACACTGCTGAGGGGAGCAGCGGGCGGCAGGAGAGGTCTGCACACCATGTGGGACCCTCCTCCAGTGGCCGGGGAGCAGCCGGGGATTGAACCGGCGCTGCAGAGGCTGCGGGCAGCTTTGCAACCCAACGCTCAACCGCTGCGCCACTGGGGAGGCCCCAGAGTTATTCTTGATGTCAAGGACCCTTCTGTTTTATCCTAGTAGCATCAAATTTTTAGGCTGCTTTTCTTCCCTCTGGGATCCAAAAGATGATACAATTCTTTTAACTGTTTTTTTAAACAACGTAAGCTAGTACTTGAGACTTCTTTTATATGTCTGAAAAAGTCAAAGAATTCCTTATCTTCTAATTCCTTAGGGTAATAATTGGTATTAAATTTATTTAAGGTGAGCTTAGTTATTGCTACATGGAAGGTGATTTGTTGATGGTACAATTGGGAGTTCAGCAAAGTTCCGTGTATAGAACCAGCCTATCTTACCAATCAGAGAAATAACAAAACTTGCCTATTATAAGACTGACTTTTTTGTTGCATGTGTATGTACGGAGATATTTTTCTGAACAGTTGTATAAAATAATTTTTATCACATTTGTATATGCAAGTTTAAATATTTCCAACTTGGTGTGTGTGTGTGTATCTTATGTTCATTTATAAAATTGATTGTTTTAGGAGTAAGAGTGGAGTCAGGTTTGTCTTTGAAATGAATACATGTAGTTACATTAATGAGTATGAAGAAGACAAGATAGAATAGTATACATGTCTTAGTCTGTTTGGGGTGCTATAACAAAATACTGTAGACCAGGTTGCTTATAAACAACAGAAATTTATTTCTCACAGTTCTGGAGGCTGCGAGTTTGAGATCAGGATGCCAGGAGAGTGGCATTTCCGGGTCTCAGCCTTCTCATTGTATCCTATATGGTGGAAGGGGCAAGGTAACTCTCCTGGGTCTCTTTTATAAGAGCATTAATTCCATTAATAATGCCTCTGTGTCATTCACACCAGACAATTATAAAAGATCTGCTAGTTTATAGTAGCTGAGTGCTGTGGTCATGGTGTAGATTAGTATTCCAGGATTTACTATTTTGGGCAATACTCCTATAAAATAAGAGATTATAGAATAGGTTAATTTTCTTTTCCTCAGAAGGAACTTAGTAGATTGTCTAGTTTGATTTAGGAAGCACCCTAATCTATTCTTTATTTCCTTTTTCCTCTTTGGCTCAATAATGACTTTTTTTTGGGATGTTCTATATTTTATTATTATTATTATTATTATTTTTTAAGAGGCATGAATTTTTATTTATTTATTTGTTTGTTTGTTTGTTTGTTTGTTTATACATGCACTGGGTACAGTCAGAAGCGCGGGAGGGTGAGAGAATTCACCAGAGCCAGAGCGGGGAGCAGAGCAGGCAGAAGGACCGAAGTACACTGCTGAGGGGAACAGCGGGCGGCAGGAGAGGTCTGCGCACCATGTGGGACCCTCCTGCGGTGGCTGGGGAGCAGCCGGGGATCGAACCGGCGCCGCAGAGGCCGCAGAGGCTTCGCAACCCAGCGCTCAACCGCTGCGCCACCGGGGAGGCCCTTATTATTATTTTTTATTTTATATACTTTTACATCATTTTTCATTTTTGCACAATATTTGCATTTTCATTGGTTATAGTCCCTATACAATTCCCACCCAAATAATAACTTTCTTTTAACCTATTTGTTACAGGATGAAGAACGGGATCCCCTGTTGCATAGTTTTAGTCATCTAAAGGAGGTTTTAAACAATATAACAGGTGAGTCCCCACATCTATGTAGAATTTGTCCTGACAGAAAAAAGCCATATGTTTGATTTATTGCATGTGGGTGTATAAACTTCTCTATAAAGGATTATATAGTAAATATTTTAGGTTTATATTTCTAAATATTTTAGGTTCTGCCATTGTAGCTCAAAAGCAGACATAGATAATACCTAAACAAATGAGTAATACATAACATTTTCTCTAGAAAAGGAGACTGCAAGCCACATTTGACCCATGGGAATAGTTTGTCCCTGGTTATTGTATTGCTTTTATCCTTTCCTTAGGATTCCTCGTAGAGTGTCCCATCTTAGTGGGGAATCAGTGTTTATACAATTATAAGCATCTTTCATTGTGTAAATTATAAGCCAGTTTTTTGTTTTTTTTTTTTTGGTTTGAACTACTTTCTCTTCATCATAATTGCCATGAGGTAGGTTGTTGGTGATACAAGTGGAGTATTTAGTACTTGCGGCAAAAACCCTTCCCTTATAGAAAGTAATTGTTGCTTCTAGGACCTTATATCTTTATAATGCATCTCCCTGACTCTTCCTTCATATATTCCCGGAATATTTTTGTCCCTTTCCCCTTGTTTTCCTTATAATAACCTTATATAAAATTTTTGTGTTGAGAATTCCTAAAGCCACTTTCACATTTATTACCTTATTGAACCTTATAAAATCCCGTGAGGGAGACATGGCATATATTCTCTTTTTCATGAATAAAGTTGAAGCCAGAAAGATTTTAAGTGGTTTAACAGGTGTCACACTTAAACTCTAAGAAGATGAAGCCAAAACTAGAATTCAATACCCTAATGCTGGTTCAGTGTCCTGTTCTGTATTGCTTCTATTCATACAATTAGAGAATTACACAGAAAGTGTCTTACATTATGTATACATGTATGTTAGGGAAGGAGGCAGTCACAGCATTGTATTTCAATGGGGGAGATAAGGAAATCCTGTGAGCTGTGTTTCTCTGTTGACCGTAAAGGATTTTTACAGTGTTCATCCCACGTATGGTTTTAGCTAGAACATATATAGGACCACAACTGTAATATATTTTATGTTTTGCAAACCAAATAAACAAAACAAATTTCTTTTGTGAGAAATACAGAAAAAAATCCTTTTTACTTTTCATAAGCTATTTGACTATTTCGACTGAAGCTATTTAAGGAAAATTCCCTATATATTTTCTTTAAAGGAGCAAATTTCACTCAATTGAAAAGTGTTGGAAATGTTTGTTAAGAAGGATCAAGTGTAGAGGAATTGGTTGTTAACTAGTTCGCAGGGCTAGTGCTACAACTTGGCATGTTTTTATTTTATGACCTGTACTGTAAGTGATTTGGTTTCTGTAGAAAGTTGACTGCTTGCACAGTTGTTTTTTCCTCTTTTTTTTTTTTTAACTTAACAGATAAAGCTCACATATTCCAGAAAGAAAATGTAATGAATAGAAATTTACAACTCTTTTTGGGGGCAAGAATTTAGTGTACTACCTTTTTAAGAGATACTAAGAGAATTAAACAAGTTAAGCTGAGATGTTAATGCTATCCTGACAGCCACATTGCCTGTTTGCAATCTAGTCTATAACCCACATTCATTTTCTATATCCAGACATGTCCCAGTATTTCAATTCAGAGACCGTGTAAGTGGTAAGTGGTGCAGTCCAGGACTTGTGGTCCCTAGACCATTTAAGAGCTATCAAAATTGAGTCTACTGCCTAATTTTCTTACATCCTTGGTTAGGAATACAGTTTATTTGCTGCTTGAAACTAATAAAACCAGAATGTACTGAGGGCTAGTTCTCTCACTGGTACTAGGAGCATAACTGGGTGTTGGCTCCTGTTTCACTGGAACAAGGAAGAAGGGGCTAGTGTTTTCCAGAGACCGGTAGCTGTGGCAGATGTTGAAAGGTGCCTATGTTGTCTCATTGTTCTTGGATTTTAGCATATTACCTGCTTGAGAAAATGGCAGAATGAACCCAAAATAGAGCATTTCATGATATTCTGATTAGTTTTGACCTACACCCACACACCCTCACAATGCTGGCTTTTAGGAGCAGGTTTATGGGGCAACTGCCCCTGTGGTCCTGGACTCTGTAATCCATGACTGATTTCTTATTTCTTTTACTGAACAAACAGATTTTTTTCTGATTGGCAGTGTCAGGAGGACTGCTTTCTTGGAAGCCTGTTAATGGTGGAAGGCTGGGAAAGGATTTTGAACTTGGAGAGAGAAACTAAAGGAACTGCCCATGCTTTGTGACTGGGAATGGTGTAGTACTTAGATTGGAGTAGGTATGGCAGGATTCTACTCAGTTTACTTCATGAAGCTGACTTGGGCTTGGTCTCAAGGCTGTTTGCATTTTCTACACTGCTTAATTTGTTGGTAAGAATATCATTGTTGGAAATGGGGGTTTCATTGGCTGTTGTCAAGGAGTGATTGCTGATGGGTACAGGGTTTCTTTTTTGTGATGATCAAATGTTCTGGTGATGATTGTACAATTTTTGAATATACTAAAAACTATTGAATTGTACATTTTAAAAGGGTGAATTTTATGGCATATGAATTATGTCTTAATTTAAAAAAACAGTAAATGTAAGATGGAAAAATGATAGGCTTCACCAGTTCTTTCTCAGGACTCAGAGCTATGGAGGAAGCCCTTGTAGTTACTGCTGTGCTTTGAACCCATTACCCAGCAAAGGCAGCATAAGGCTCTGTTCAGTCTCCTGGCCCAGTTTGTCCTTTTATGTCTCTCTCATTAACTCAAGGAAGCACATGGCTTTTATATTTAAATTTATTCAAGCTGTAATCTTTGACATTTGAGTTAGCTTTTAGTACAGTTTTGCATTTATAGTAATATATATTATGTATTTTCTCTATCCCCAAAGAATCCGTTTTAATCTTTTCCGGATGCAAATTTCAGGCTGTCTTGTCCCATCTCCCCTCTCTTGCTGTCTTTCCCCTCCCCCCACGGAGTGTGTTTGATCAGGTGTGGCAGGAATATCCACTGTCAAGCTGCGCCCTTTATATTAGTCAATATTATCCTTCTCCCCCCTCCCTGTCTGTCTGCCCCTTTGGGCTTTCCCAGTTGATTTATAATTTTGGAATTCTCATCGGAGTCTGTAATACAGTTTGTTCATTATTTAACCAAAACCTGTTTAATGAGCAGAGAGAGGCAATGTAAATGTTAGGCATGTTGCAGTGATGTACCTTTGTGCTTCTCAAAGCGGGTGGGTAGTTAACTCTGTGCTGCCTGCACGACTGGGATGTCCTGGCCTTAGGGGCAGAAGGACCACTGTCTCTCCCTTACCTCTGCCTAAGTCCTGCCATGAGTTTAGACTGCAAAGATATGTTTCCTTTTATCCTTATAGAGCTCTTATAGGGGCTCTTGCATATTGGAGTTATCATTAAGCTCATAGCTAGACTCTGTGGTAAGGTCTGTGGCATAGGATAGGGGGATAGAAGAGAAAGTAAAATATCAGGTTACTTGATACTGCTCTGAAGACAGTAGACAGTTTAGAAGAATCCTAGCTGGCATGGTATGTGGTCTTTGATCTCTTTGTTCTCAGACTAGACAAGTCCTTTTAAACCTTAGTACCCTTCATCCAGTAGAGCTTTGTAGAAGGGGCTCTAATTAGTGATTAGTGATGTTTTGGTATGGTTATCTGCCACCAGATTTAGGCTGCCTGCCTCCTTGGCTCCTTGGTCTTGGTCTTTAAACTTGCACAGAGTAACTCTGAGGGATAGGGTATTTCTTTATTGAGCTTACCTGGACAGTAAGATATAGTGTGCTTGAGTTTAAGAGGGAGAAGCAGGTGCCAAGAGAAAGTGAATGTATCAGGAGTTTATTTAAATATAGTTTATCCTGGACAAACACACCTGTAAGGGTACTGTCTGTCTCAAGCTTTGTGAATTCAGAGTCTGAGCTAGGAGGTTTGAATCCACATAACCTCCAGAGGTTTGCAGAGAACATTTAAACAGATTCTGAAAACCAACCTGGGAAGAACTATGACTAAACACTTGTCTGGCCTAGGCCTTTTAGAAATAGCCTTTTAGGTAAAAGTGAAATTGTTCAAGGATACCTGAGACCTCAAGTTTAATGTGTTTCAATTGGAAGATGGGAGTTACAAGGAAAAGAGCTTTTAGTAACAGTCAGGAAAAACATTGAGTCTTTTTAAGTCTACATTATTTGAGTCTACATTATTTAAGTCTACATTATTTAAAAAAACTTTTTTTGCTAGAGTTAGCCCCCATACTGATTGAATACATACTTTCATTTTTTTTTTCTACAGGAACCTATAGTTTAGGGAATAGTAAAGTAAGCAATATATATCAAAAAAGGAAGGTTGAATGAGTCATTAGTTTTGTCTCACTTGGAATGAGCGTGTGAGCTCATTCCAGTAGAGGCCTTACTCAGAGATTGAAAGAAAGAGACTAAACTTTGGCAGAAAAATTCATATAATGGGCAGAGTGTTGGAAGAGACAAGGTTGGTTATACTTATATAGTGTCTATTTCCTGTGCCCTTTTTACTTTGTTGTTCTCTAATGAAATATAAGACTATGTTAGCTTTTTTAAAATAAGGTTTATTTATTCATGCATAGAACTGGGGTGTAGGCCAGAGGTGCAGGGAGTGAGAAGAGTCACTAGAGACAGAGTGGGGAGCAGAATAGGTGGATTTATTGAAATACACTGCTAAGGAGAGGTCTGCTGCACCATATGTGGGTTAGATCCCTGGCCGGGTAGCCCTAATTCAGGCTGCAGTGGTGATAGCAGTGAGACTTAACCCTTAGGCCACAATGGAAGACTGTTGAACAACACATTAGGATGTGACTTGAATTTTTCAGATTAACTTTGGCACTTTAGAATCTTTGTAACTTGAGTGGCCTTAGATTTGACAGAGGAAATAAAGGTTACTCTCTTGCCCCAGGAATATATAAATAACATATAAATATAGGCCTCCCACAGGCCTATGTCCTAATGACTTTACTTTGTCATTTCTTTTTA